ATCATATATGCATATCTGATTACCTTTAAGCTATATGTAAGTGGTTAATTTATTATAACTATCTGAGAGTTACAAAAATACAACTCTGTGCCAACAATGCAAGTTGAATTTTCCAAAGTTAGCTGATCTATGTCAAGGTATTAAAGCATGTTATTTTTAAATATTATTCGATTGTTAACTTTTGATGAAAAAGAAATTATTGTTTGAAGAAATATGTTGTTATATATGATGTTACAAATATTTATACAAATATAAGTTTTACAAATTAGGCTTGGCAGTCAGAAATAGCAAACAAAATAAATGTCCTTATTTTAAATATACAAGTATAAGAACAATATCAGCTAGCTTGAGATTGTACAATATACAGTAGAAAAGTTTAAAAAATACTGTACTATACTGAGTAGACTGGAAATAAAAAGGCAATAATTTTGAAACTGGGCTGATATTGTTTTTATTGTTATTTTAAAGGTTTTTTTAAAATTATTGAAAAGCATTTTGTTTTGTTTTGGAATATTTAACCATTAAAAATTAAAATTCAGCACTACCTCAGTGGATGTTTAAATTTTTGTATATTCAAGATAAGGAGTTTTTAGGTTTCTCTGCAATACAGTTATGTTTTTGTATGGTAATACAAAGTAAAGAAGTTTTGTGTGTATATAGCACCACAGAGTGCCATGTTGGTGAAGTAAACTTGTCCAGTGTGGCTCATGTTGGTGCAACAGAAATTCGCAGCTAATGGTTTATTAAACATGATACTGAGTAATATAATACTCAGTTCTTACCCATTAGATGTACAAATAATTTAAAAGACTGATTGTTAAGAATATTTTTAGTTGCATTATAGAAAAGTAACAGTAAGCGTTTTGATTATCATATATATGTAAATGTGGCTCTTAAACTGGAAAGTATTATGATATTGAGTGACTTTTTTGTGTTAATTTACACATTCTTAGTTTTGTAATAAGTACTGTACTAAGGAAGCACTCCAAATGACAGATCATTCAGTTAAATTCCAGTACCCTGACCTCTCTCTTTTTTTTTCTTTTTTTTGTACCTTACCATACAGCACCATTACATCTTTATTATTGTGATTGAATTTAAGTCATGTGCAATACAAACAAACTTTGAAAAATATTCACTATAACTTATAAATGCAATACTTACAGGAATCAAAAGTGAAATTATTGATGTGTTGGAGAAACACAGAGATGAAGAATTAGCTCTGCGGAAAGAGAAGAGAAAGAAAATGCAGGAGGAGGATGAAGGAAAGGAGAAGGATGATAAGGAAAAGATACAACAAGAAACTAATGTATCAAACAACCTTCCCATTTCAACAGAAGGAGATGGCAGTACTGAAAGTCAAGTACAGGGAACATCCACCACTGAGAATGGGGGTTTAGCTATGGAGGTTTGTTTTGCACTTCTGGTATTTATTTTTTTATGAGAACCCTTGGTTGGAGTCATCCATCAACCATAAACATTTTTAAAAATTAATTCTATAAAATTATGGTATTTTATTGCAAATAATTGATTCTGGTATTAATTCTTAGAGTTTTTTAACAGACTTAAGTGATAGGACAGTGTACTATACCAGTAGATTTGTTTTATATATATATATATATATATATATATTATTATTAAAGTGATTAGATTGTTATTTAGCTTCTCCTGTATTTGAGAAGAGTAATGGTGGATAAAATTGTCTTAAATGGAGAAGTTTAGTTAGAATTAGGTTTGTATTAGGCTAAAAACTTCAGATTACATTTGTAATGGACTTTTTTAATTTGAATATACTGAATTTAACTTAAATAGGTATAGAAAGATGATTTCACTGGCTTTGATTTTTCCACTTTAGTTATTGTTTTTATTAATACGAGTATCTATACCTAGATTTTGTTGTTTTCAGGTTTTACCTTCTGATAGTACCAGACAGAATGAAACCAACCTTGGTTTAGCAGAGGCTTCAGGAGTTTCATCTTTGGAAGCCCCAACAACAGTCGAGTCAGGCAAGGCATTTGGTTTTAGTAGCTGTTTTCTTTATCCCCCCCCCCCTCACTTTCTTACGTTAAAAACATGTTTTTGGTGTTTTGTATATAAATTAAGTTTGGAAAGAATCATGCCTATTACAGTACCATGAAGAAAATCAAAGTAATCATCAGAGTATCAAATGTTTGAAGTCACATTTACATATCATTTGTCTTAACTACTTTCAAAATTTAATTAAAAAGGTATGTTTCTAAATGTGTTTTCTTACACTTACAATTCCTAACATATTTTATAAATAAATAGTTAACCCTTTGAATACTGCACACTCTTTAAGCTCCTCTCTGCACCAGTCATGGGGTTTTACTTAGTTACATTCAAAATTAAATAAACCACTTTACTATTTATGTATTTTAATGAAATTGACATTATCATGTACATTATAATTCAAAGTTTTATATTATCCAGGTTTTAATTCCTTTATTTCAAAGGTAACCTCTAGCACACTTGCTACGGGCTTTGTCAAATGGGCTTAATTCCTTTATTTCAAAGGTAACCTCTAACACACTTGCTATGGGCTTTGTCAAATGGACCAAGTTCCTGACCCCAAATTAACCTTTACTTCATGCATGTATGGAGTCAAAGTGTTAATTGTTCTGAGTGAAAAGTGATTTTCATGTTAAGATTAAAAATACTTTTTTTATCTTAAAATTGTCAAATTTCATTTTTATAATCTCTAAAACCTCCTAAATAAATTTCAAAGTTTTTTTAATTTTATTTTTTCTGTTATTTTCTCTACCCTAACTCTGTATGAGGTTGGTCAATTTGACTGACCTTGTAACCACCAAAAAAAAAAAAAAAAAAAAAACGAAACAAATCTAAACTACTCTTTTTTTTTTTTTCTTTTTAGAGTGACTTCAAATTGTAATATGAATCTATATTTATTTATCCTATTT